ACAAAGTGGGCGGACAGCTGCCGAGTTGAGCTCGGAGGTCACAATAGTTGACAGTGACAGCACTTGATCTTATTATGCTGCGCTTCGCTGAATGGGAAAAGTTCTGGCTGGCATTGAGCGTCTCTGAAGTGTAGGCAAAACATGCAGGCTTGTCAAGTGGGCGGGCACACTTCCGCCATTAGTGTTTGTATGTGTGTGTGCCTTGCTGTTTGACGTTCACAGGTCGAGTACTGAAGGCGTAAGTAAATTGGTGTTGTGTTCTGTATGTTATCAGTTCAGCAGCAGATCCTTGCGTTCTTACCTCCCACGAGTGTAGCTCAAAGTAACACATCCAATCACACTTAAATATAGCGAACAGTGTGTTTTACAGTACTTCTTTTGGATATTTAGTTAAACTTTTGTATGCTCCTAGTCACGATGTGTAACGTTTTATGAAGTATGTATATACCATACGTATATATAAATGATTGGTGTGACAATCTGAATGTCTGTCTTTATATACCCTCAGTTTTTGAGATATCCATCTGAAACTTTGCACATGTTCTTTCATTCTCAAGAAGCTACTCATTTGTCGAAAACGCTGATATCAGACCACTATAGCATATAGCTGTCATACAAACCAGCCGATCAAAATCAAGTGCTTATACGGAATACCCTTTCATTTGATGAGATATCTTCAAGAAATTTGACACGCATTATTCTCTAAGACAATAAATAGTACAATCTCTGAAGAAATTGTATAGAACGGATTACTATAGCATATAGCTGCCATACAAACTGGCCGATCAAAATCAAGTTTTTGTAAGAAATGTATTGTATTGTATTTGTAAAGGGTATTACCGCTTTGGTGCAAACAAATTTAACGTTTTTTCTCGTTTTTGACATATTAGTAACGCTGAATTCGAAAATCTGACTATTTATTCGAACATTCTTAATTGTTAAGACTTGTAGAAAATTTTAGAAAGAATTCAAAAATTTAGAATCAAACTTTTATAAAGTTCAAAACACAAAAAGCTTGTTACCATATTCAAATTTTAGAACAATCATAAATCTAGATATTTTTTTGTTAATTTTTTTCAGACCCTAACTATGTATATCAGTATCGCCTGAAACCTGCTACTCCTTACCTAAAAATAAAATAATGAGAATGAACATATTCCTCCTGGTAGGATTCTCCATCGAATTTTATTATATTATATTTTCTGAATAAAGTCTTACTGTGCCATTTTCCAAATTTTTTATTTTCAAAAAAATCCATGATAAACCTTTTAGAAGTAGGAGTATATTCAACTAAGAGCTCAGGCTATGTACAATATACATACAAACATGCATGTGTACATGTATGGGTTTGCATTTGTGAGTGGGCTTATGCATATGCAAAAAAGGGTCGCTCACGTGACTCTGTTGGACTTTCTGTGATATTGAAACTTTTAATGTTTGGCAAATGTTTTTGGTTAGAAGGACATGTAAGGACTATGCTATTTTTTATACCTTTGTACATTCTAATATTTTTTTTTTTGCTAACGAGAATCAAGCATGAAGTGGGTTTTATTTATTTCCACGCTGATTTTAGCGAAATGTCAAGACTTTATATTTTGCGTAGCATAGGATATCCTTGCTATGCAATATAGATAAAATACTGTATTCACATGTAAAAACGCTATTCAAAATAGATGCACATGAAAAGCGTAGATTACTCAAACGCAATGCCAATATTTCTTAAGCCATTAGTTAAAGCCGAATTGGAGGTAAGGATGGGACACGCAATCATAGTGATATTCTGAAGTAATTACATTCTCTTAAAACAGTTTTCTCCTTTTCCACACATTATGAGAAATAGTATGCAATACATGAAATGCGCGTAGCTTTCTCGCCCACTAAATTCTATATTTCCCATAAATTTGGTAGCGTTATATAAACGAATAGCAGTAAAGAGCTTTATTTAACTAAAATTATACTTTCAAGTCAACAGTTACTACTGGCACTAATAACTATAAATACTCTATGTATTAATATATGGATCATTTTTTAAAATATAATATAAGATAACCGCCTCTCTGCAACACAAACATTCACAGTTTTAATCGATTTTTGGTGTTCTATATCAAATGTGGAAGAAAAGAAACCCACAACTTGAAACCTTTCATAGCAACGCACCCGAATCCATTGAGCCTTAGCTTATCTTGATTTAGCAATTTCAACATTCAATTAACACCAAATCTGCCAACCATCAGCCATCCCTACCCCATTCCTGCTCAATCGAACAAAGTATTAGTCCGTGCTCAAACTGCTTTTATCTGGCAACGGCACTCGCTGAAAGCTTTCAAATGGCTTTCGCCATTGAAATGCTACACAAAAGCATAAAGTCTCATTTATTCTTTCACACACACATGCACACACACACAACCAAGAAGCGATGAACAATTGTGTCATTTTCAATTAATGTTTTGTGTTGAACCACCGCCACAGTCTGTTCCATGAAGCGTTCGCTGAACGCCCACAGTCACCTCCCACACCCACTTCCACTTATACGAGTCTGTGCTTGTATATGTATGCAATAGGATTCTTACTTTTCTAACAACAACAAAATGGCGCGATATCACTTATAGCGACGCATAATGTGAAAGGCAGAGCGCAGAGTAGAAAGAGACACGTTTCATGCCACGGCTTGTGGCCTTGGCGTGGCGTGGCATAGCATTCCATGGCTTCGCCTCTGGCTCTGGCTGTGACTCTGGCTATGGCTATGGCTCTGGCTCGGGTAGAAATTGCAGCAACTGCGACGCATCGTTCTCTTCTGTTCTGGCATCGCCGATTGGCCGTAACGTGGGTGAAACAGTTACGCAAAAGTTATGCTGCAGCAACGGTTAAATGTTCTACCCCAACTACAAACACTTATATTTCGATGCCACATTATAGTTCTGACCTTTTTGGGATGGTGCAACCGCTCCTGGTTTAACTGCTCATTCCATGTTTGGAGTGTGGGTATTTATTTCCAGTTTTATTGTTTGAATTGGTTTGCTTTTATTTCGTAATTCGGTGGGAAAGCCTACCACTACACAGTAAATTTATTGATTCCATGCTATTCAATACGGAATATTTGTGTGGCACAGTGGAACAAAAAGCTGAAATGAGTATTAAAATATTGCGGAAAAATAAATAAATATTTCACAACTCATATCTATTTTTTTTTTGCTTTTTTTTTTGTTTTGCATTTTATATTAATTTATTTTAAAAATTTTGTAACTTTCTCTTAATTTTATAATATTTTAGTAATATGAGTATAGGAGTTAGTTACGTTTATATATAAAAATTTCTTGCAAAAGGTTAGTCTTGGATTTTAAAATACAGCATTTTCCAAAACAATAAAAAATATTATCAAACATTTTTGAACGATAAAAAATTATTATAAATGTAACATTTCAAAATAAGATTATTTCCGGTGTGATAGGTCTTTGGTATACATTTACTTTATTTGACTGTTACGAAAGTGAAAATGTATAAAATTGTAAAATTTTATTTTCCTAAGTTTAGAGTTTTTTTTCGTTATTTTGTGAATAATTTGCGCTTAAGAGTTGACTTTTACCAATAATAGAGAAAAATATTTTATCCAAAGTCGACTGCCAATAAATCTAACAATTAGTAAAGCGAACACATAATGTGAAATTTTGAAAAAAAATTTTTTTGTTGGCATATTTCCATAGCATATACCTTTAAAAATATCATTCTAAAATTTTAAAATATTTTTTAAGTTACAGCCTTCTAAAGTGTTACCACTCAGTTCAATCAGCTGCATCAGTTTATCATTAAACGCGTTTTACTCGAAACAGCATTTTTCGAAACTCCTGCAGTAACTATCAAAATCTTTTGCAAGTTCTGTATATCGTGGTACCTTCAATGACCAGGTTTTTGGTATGATCACAAATCGAATTTGGCAGGCTGAAAATTACTAAAATTTTGGGTAAAACGTAACTAATTTTTTGAAAGCGGCGCCATTTTGTAAATTTTTGATTTTTTTTCGACTCGAATTATTAATTTTTTCATCAAAAACCAGCAAACGCTTTCTCTACTAAGTATTGAACATTATTAAATTGTTTTTAATGTTCGTTATTTATATTTATTTTCTTCATTTAATATCGTTGAGACAAAAATATTTATTAAAATTGTTTAAAATAATAAAATTATGTCTACATTTCACAACCATCCACTTACGCTACTAACATCATTAGTTTCATTAGCCCACTGTGTCCAAGCGTGCAATATTTCACCTTATAATGAACACAACAACACAACCAATTATAATTTTCACACACATTTACACAACGCTACATTCTCATCCTATACTCACACTCCGCCCTACCCACTTTCAGAGCACAACAACTGTTTATGCGAGTGTGCGCTATATAAACACTAACTAGCGCTCAAGTTGGCACTCCGCACACCACCATAGCGAAGCGTTTCTCTGCTACGCCCATCGCGCCAGCATTGCAGCCAATCAGCGCGCATGTCCGACGATGAAGATGGGGCGCATTCGCCTGAGCATTGCTGGTTGGTCGCAAACCGGTTTCTCAATACACGCTAGCTGTGAAGCAAACTGGTGGAACCGGTTAGTCGCCGCTGTCCGCACCGCTTTGACTTGCTCAGAGCGTAGCCTTTTCGTTGCGGTTTTGTTACGCCTCCTCCTTGCAACTGTGTTGGCGCGCGTGTGTGAGTGATCGTGCAACTGCTTTTGGTGCCTCTTCTGCTTGGCGTTACGGCATTTTACGTTGCTTGGCATTTGCAACGGTCGGCGGTTACACTAGCGTTAGCACTCACACATATGCGCTCTCGCGTTTGAATGTACATGTGTGTGGTTGAGTGTTGGCTGTGTGGTGCTGTTGGGTGACAGTGGCTTTGTGCTCCATGGACGATGGACGGCACTATGAGTTATTTGTATTGGTGCTGGTTGATAACGTTTTTGTTGTTGCTGGCGCTGGCAAAGCGAAACACAGCGCGTGGAAGATGTTTGTTGTTTATTTTGTTTTACGTTTCGCTGTTCGCTGTTGGCTGTTGGTGGTGCGTTTGGTTGGTGGCGCTGTTTGTCTGATTGAGCGATGCCAAGTCATTAGTTGATATTTTGACGGTCGAGTGACAGGGTGCGTTTCGGAACGGCAACAGTTTTTTTCTGCTTCATGCGATTTGAATCGTCAGTGCTGATTTGCTAAATTATTTGATTCCTTTTGTGTTGAAATGATTTGTGCTCAGTTTATAAATTGCTTATAAAGTTATTGAGAGAATCTATTGTGAGTGACATGATAAATGAAGTGAATAAAGTGTGGCTTTGACTTACACACCATATTGATAGTGGCAAAATTATTCGCACATTAATTTAAAACTACACTATATTGTGTTTTGGTGGCAACAAATAGAAAAGTTCTACAAACTAAACTGCAGTTAGTAGTTTGAAATACTTTAATTACAGCATCAGGATACATACATTTTCAGCATCAAATGGTAAGAAAAAATGACGCTTCCATCTACTTTTCCATATTTTTGCACATTTGTACATAGATACAATCAATTTTCATATATTTTTGAATATTCGTATCTCAAGTCGGAAAAAATTTCTATTTCAAATTCACTATCAAATGTTATTATAAAAATAGTTTGCTCAGGATTATGCGAATAAAAAGCTCTCATTATATTCATAAATTAGCATAGAAAATATATTCAGCCACAAAATCAAACAACCTATATCACAACTATAATTTTTAATATTCGTATTGTAATGTGTTAGGCTCAAAAATTTTAAATATTTTACTTTCCGACGGAATCGAAAATACTGCTCAAGTCAAAGTGTATTTGCAAAATATGAAGCTCAATCACACATACATCAAAGATAATATATAGTAAATCACTGTTATTCAAAATGAAAGCAAAGAGAAGATTAATGGCTATCTCCCGCTATGCCATTTTCATTTTGAATTCCATCAACCGGTTGTAAAAAAGCTTTGTATTTTCCCGTACCAAATTGGTTCTACAAATATTTGATTAACTTGCATCAGCGTACTAAATTTCAGTCAAAACTTTGAGTTGATTTGATGGAAACTAATTCTTCAGGTAGTACATTAAACATTTAAAGGAAGCGCATCTGCTTTTTAAACGAAGCTTTTGAGCAACTTGCACTTAAATCGACAAATGAAGACCCCTTCAAGTGTCTAAATAACTGCAGAATATTTCTAAAAAGTTTTTACAACATTTAATTAGTAATGGAAATGAAGATGTTCTAGCCGAGCGAAAATGTTAAAAGTGGTTGTCATGACTTAAAAATGGTGATTATTTCTTGGAAAACAAAGAACGTCCTGGGCGGCCAAAAAAGTTTGACAATAAAGAACTGCAGACACTACTCCATGAAGATTGTTGCCAAATAAAAAAAACCGTTCGCAGATTCTTTAATAGTCACTTAAGCAGCCATTTCGAATCGTTTAAAAGCAGCCAGATAAATTTAAAGGCGAGTACAGTGGGTGCCATATGAACTCTAACCAAGAGACGTTGAAAGACGAGTTTTCTTGTCAGAAATGCTGCTTGACCGCTACAAATAGAAGTCGTTTTTCCATCGGATTTTGACTGGTGATAAAAAATGGATCCATTACGAAAACCCTAAATGCAATAAATCATATGTGAAACCTGACCAATCAACCAAATCAACGGCAAAGACGAATAACCACGACGCCAAGTCAATGCTCTGAACCTGGTGGAATCAGAAGGATATACTGTATTATGAGCTTCTAAAACCGGGTGAGGCCATAAACAAGGAACACTATCTACAACAACAAATTAAATCTAAGAGAGCGACTGCCGCAAAATGCCTGAAATTTGCAACTAGACACGAGGCAATAATTTTCCATCATGACAACGCTCGGTCCCACGTTGCAAGACTGGTTAAAAACTATTTCGAAAACAGCGGTTTGGGAGTTTTGTCTCACCTACCTTATAGCCCAGATCTTGCGACTTCTGACTACCATTTGTTCTGGTCGATGTAGAACGCCCTTACTGGAATACGGTTCACAACACAACAGAGTATCAAAAATTCGCTCAATTCTTTCTTGGTACTTTTGGTATGTAATTCTTCCATTGCCAGAAAGATGGAAAAATGTTATGGCTTCAGATGGGCAATATTTTGAATAATATTATTGTACAATACATGTTTTTCTTAAGTAAACGTTCACAATTTGAATATAGTTAAAGACATAATATATTAAAACTTTACATTGGTCACGCCGGGCTTTAGAATTTCCAGTTCGGTTTCTAGTTTCTTCGATTTTGCACTATTTAACTTTTTTAAACTGATTATTATAGCAACATTTGGTTGTATTTCCTACCACAAGTATTTATTTATGTATCTTTTTATTATCTTAATTTTGGTCAAAATAAAATAAATTGAAATGAATATGAATAGGTTGCATGCAACCCAATTGAAGGAACATTTATTAGAAATTCAGTAAGATTTTGCTTTTCTTATTATTTAGCACAAAACTGTTCCCACAAGCCAAAATAGCAATAATAGGTCAGTTAAAGGTCATATCTAAAAAATTTATTCATCTAATATACAGTCTAGGTATATATGTCGATACTGAATGAAATGAATCTCTTAAATTCAACTGAGTATTTAAGTTGACATGAGTTTGCATTTATTTTACACACAACTAATTTATTATGGTTTGGACTACTTGAGTAATTTCGAGGAATGCGGTGAAAAAGTATTCCGCGCTTGTCAAACCTCATGATTTGCATGGCTTATCGGTTCTTATCCGGATCGCATTCATAAGCAACACAATTGACGCTGCGTGCACTTGTGAAATTACCGAACTCAATAACCTCAATGGATCACCTAACCAGATTACCTTAACTCTTTGACAGATTGACTAAATTGCTAAGCAGTTGATTATTATGAGCACTATGTAATTGTTGTACCTTGAAACACACACACACACACACACACGTATGCTTATTAACAATTTTCCTCATGCAGGAGTATACAGAATGGCGTGCAACGCTTCCAGTTGCTTGCCGGCGAAAAATATTTTTCGACAACTGAGAAATTTTGACGCCAAGCGCCCGTAAATATGCTAATCACAATGGGCCACTTTGATCACTTATCGCACAAAACGACAATAAAAACAAGCCTTGTAAAAGCCGCGCTGCACATTGTTGTTGGAAATATATATGTGTGGAATGTTGTAAGAGCACTTGCGTACATAGCAGCTACATGCACACATACATACGAGTAATAAGCACAAAAGTTCATTGGTTGCTTGGCCACAGCAGCAATTAAATGCGCTGCCAATCGTTCATTTTAGCTAGGAGCGAAACACAGAGAATCGTTTGACGCTTACCAATATGCTAATGTGTTGAATATGCAACCATACATTATGCTTATATAACGGCAGCACAGTTGTGCTCCCCTAAATCGGATAAGTCCTTGCACAACTTCCTGCCGCTGAAATGTGTTAACTGTTTCATTTGGCAGCAAAAGCTTCAAATATAATTATGCGTTGCACATACATATACATACATGTATGTATGCATGTGTATGTGTGTGTGCGCCAATTGGCCGGTTGACCGCCACTGACCAACGGCGCTAAATCGCCTGTCAGTAGGCATGAAAAAACCCGAACCGTATAAATTAAATCCTAATTCGGAGGTAAGCAATTCATTATCAACAGCAAAGGGGGCCGCGGCTGTTGGCGTCTATAATTAGATTGCTTAAGTATGTTTTTAAATGTTTTTTATAAAACATTTGAAATGAGTATATCTAAGCGCCTTTTGTTCTGCGTTGAAAGTTCCTTCTATATTAGAATTTAGAATACACTGGGAGAAATTAACTAAATTGTAGCTAAAATTTTTTAATGAAAGATTTTCCTTTTAATACATATGTTTCAGTTTTTTTAAGGTTTGTTTCCAGTCAGTCAATCCTACGATCTCCAAAATATCTAATAAAATTTATCTTCATATACATACATACTTAAGTTCAATCAATTTGTTTATTAGTCTTGTAATCTTTACATTCAAAACGATCTTAAAGAAATAATACAGCATCTGATTATATTTGACCCGGACTGGACCGTTTGAATTGCGCGCTCAAACTAAATCCATCATTTTTGATACACTGAACAGGGTATATTAAGTTTGCCGCGAAGTTTATAACACCAAGAAGAAAACGTCGGATACCCTATAAAATATGTAAATAAATGATCAACATGTTGAGCTGAGTTGATTTAGCCATGTCCGTCCATCCCTCTGTATATATGCAAACTAGTCCATCAGTTTTAAGGCTATCGATCTGAAAATTTGCGTCTGTCCTTTTCTCACTAAGAAGCTGCTGATATCGGACCACTATAGCACATAGCTGTCATATAAACTGAACAATCGGAATCAAGTGCTTGTATGGAAATCTTTTTCATTTGACGAGGTATCTTCACGAATTTAGATCGAAATCAAGTTATTGTTAGGAGCCTTTGTATCTGTGAAGGGTATGTTAGCTTCAGTGCAAGCGAAGTTAACGTTTTTCATGTTTTTTATTAGCTTAGGGCAACCTTGGTTTATATTTGTGTGAATTGTATCCCCATATGTCAACTGATGTGTGTTTGGCAGAAGTTTGCTTACGACGCTGAAAGTTTATATAGAGATTTTACACAAGGAAAAAAAATTTAACAACGAGTTTGTTTGAAATTTGTCTTTTTGTAGCAAAACGCATTTAATGAAGGTCGTAGCAGAAAGCATTCAGTGAAGATCGTGAATTCATCGAAAACTTCCCTCACGCGAATTCTTCATCCACTTCTGTAAATAACCATAATCGAAAAAATTATCTGATGTTAGTATCAGAAGGATAGCAAATTCACACATTCTGCTTAAAGTTTTGGTTATGAAGAGTGCCAATGCTAGATTCTTACAAAAAGACCTGAATCGATTGCAAAAACCACGTCGCGTAGCAGTCACAAAAGAGATGCTTGAAATTGTAGCTGAGGACTATATATTCATCAAACGCATCATTACTGGGGCGAGACCTAGGTTTATAAATATGAGTTCGAAACTGTCCAACTATTAAACTATTACAGACGAGCCTTATAAAAAATGCATGGAAAATTGGATTAATCGTTGGCACGCTTGTACTAGCCTGTATTGCAGATAATAAAGATTTGTAACAAAATACCTGAAAATGCAATTTTTTTGTCAGTCCGGCTTAAATTTGTTCAGATGGATTTATTATTAAAGGCAACCAAGAGTTAATCTTGTTAGACTTGAAATATAGCAACTCAGAGAAAGAATCAAACATCGCGTTGAATATCTACCTGAAAAATATAAAATTTTTTTGAGTGTATGAAAATATATGCAGCAATAAAATAAATTATGCAAGTGTCTAATATACCAAGTATGCAATCTATGAATAAAGAAATTTATTAGCGAGATTTTCGGCTCATAAAAGCAATGAAATTACGAGCACGGAAACATTT